CCCACGTTTTGGGCTTGATCCCCAGTTCAGCGCGTGCAGGAGGCAGCCGATCAATGTGTTTCTCTCATCAGTGTGTCTCTGTATCCCTCTCCTTTCCTCTCTTTAGAATTAATAAAAATATTTTAAGCCCTAACGGGCACTTGCTTCTGGTGCCAAGCACCCTCTCCCCACCGCCCCCCAAACAAAACAAAACAAAACCAAAAAACCAAAACAAACAAGAACCCTGACAAATACCACTTAACTCAGATGATCAAGGTTAAACTTCCCAGTAAAAGTTCAGGTGTACTGACCCTCCTGATATAATGACGCACGGAGGACACATCACTTCTGTGGTGTTCTTGCCAAAAACAGATATCCAGAACTTAATCATAGAGACATCAGACAAACCTAAATCAGGGACAGTTCACAAAAACCTACTGGCCTTTAAAAATGTTAAGGTCATGAAAAGATGAGAAAAGACTGAGGAATGTTCCAGATTGAAGGAGAATAAGGACATGAAAACTAAATGCAACCTGTGATCCTGAAACAGAAAAGTATGTATTTTTATTTTTGCTAAAAAACATTATTGAGACAATTGAAAGTACATTGAATTTTTTTATTATGTGATGAACTTGCTCTGGTTGTGTGTTTTTAGGATATACAGTTTTTAGGAAGTACTTAGCAGTAATGGGGCATCTTAACTTACTCTCAAATGATTAAAAAAACATTTTAGAAAATGTTAACATTAAAGGAATTTGAGTGACGGGGATTTATACTATTACAACTTTTCTTGTAAGTTTAAAATTTATTTCAAAAAGTTTAAAAATTGAGTAATAGTGGTGTTTTAAGAAATTATCTTAGGCCGAGACCGGTTTGGCTCAGTGGATAGAGCGTCGGTGTGGGGACTGAAGGGTCCCGGGTTCGATTCCGGTCAAGGGCATGTGCCTGGGTTGCGGGCCCATCCCCAGTGGGGGATGTGCAGGAGGCGGCTGGTCGATGTTTCTCTCTCATTGATGTTTCTGACTATCTCTCTCCCTTCCTCTCTGTGAAGAATCAATAAAATATATTTAAAAAAAGAAAAAAGAAAAAAAGAAATTATCTTAGATTTAATAAGTAATAGCACTGTCTTTAAGTTAGTATTTCCTAACCTGTGTGCTAAGGGTTATTAAGTTCTCCATTTCTTCATTCTAGATCAGAGTTGGGCAAACTTTTTGACTCGAGGGCCACAATGGGTTCTTAAACTGGACCGGAGGGCCGGAACAAAAGCGTGGATGGAGTGTTTGTGTGAACTAATATAAATTCAAAGTAAACATCATTACATAAAAGGGTATGGTCTTTTTTTTTTTTT